CTAAATCAAAGGACGGGGCCAATTTCCCCCTCCTATAGGGACAAGGGATCCCCACTGGCTTCAGTGGGAATTGGATTCTGCCGCAGAGGAAGAACAATTCAGAGGATACTACAAGGGAGTTCAGACATCTCCTGGCTACCTGGGTGTGTAAATTATACCAGGTGTTAGACTCAGTTAGGCACGCCGAGACTTGCATCCATTCGTGACCCTATTGCTTACATTCCCATAAACACCACCGTGGACATGGTCCAGGGAGCCAAAGAGGTTAGAACCGTGGCTGCTAGAGCCGGATGTAGAAAGAAAAGCAACTGACAAGAGGGTGTAAGAAAGCTTAAGTTGAAAAATGGGGGTGGCCTGCGGTGTAACCCTGGGCAAGTCACGTCACCACCCCGGGCCTCAGTTTCCCCATCTGCAAAATGAGGCAAATGAGCCTTATCTCCCGGGGGCGCTATTCATCCGTGTTGTCAAAATCAGTTGTGATCTTCAGCTAAAAGCAAATAATTGATCCCGATGCATGCTCCCAGGAAGACAAGGCACTAGATGGCTTGGAACTGTCCCTCGCCACTGGCTGAGTAGATCTTAGTTCTGTGCCAGTAGTGATAGTAGGGCTAGACCCTGCGGTCCTTCCTTTGGCCAGACTTGCACGGAAGGAGGGCATCCCCTGGGACACTGCAGATGGGCCCTGATCCCACAAAGCACTTAAGCACCTTAAGCACGTGAGAAGTCCCATTGACTTCCAGGGATGAGGCGCGTGTTTAACTTCCCACACACTTTGCTTTGCTCGCTCAGGCCCTTCGTGAGAAGGATTATGCCGAGTTGTGGATTCCATATCTGTAGAAGGGGGGGGGACCCAATGCATGGAGATTTTGCTCTTTTTGAAGAGACAAGCTGAGAAATCCGCAATTACCTCATATTTTCCCAGCACAAATGATTCATGCAAGTGGCTTCATCATTATCTAAACAACTGCCTTTATCTCGAAGACCCCGTTCTGCAATGCTCACCCATTCAGGCAGGGAACAGAGGTTCATTTCCTGTCTGGTAACTGCACCCCCATCAAGCAGATGAAACTCACCAGCTGGAAGGCAGGGCCGGATCAAAGAGTCTTTGTGCAGTCTTATGGACCAGGTTTTCTTGGATGCTAATGAAGTGATGCTGTTGCTTTAGACCAGCTAAGATCTGGTCCTGTGTCAGGACACCACGTCAGAGGTGATGCCAGACAAATCACAGACAAATCACAGAGTAGAAACATTTTGTGGCACTTTCTCCAGCATTCCAGATCACTCCTGTGGCAACTTCCCAAGAGCCCTCCAGCTGCTAGTGCCCTACAGAAACTCATCAGATCATCAGACAAACGTAGCAGGAATATTGTATTGGGGATGCTGAAAGTGACGGAGGGAATATTTAATGAGGGCAAAACAGGTGCCAGTTTACCAAATGAACTGAGCCAAAGGGACTAGTCTGTTCTTGTGAAAATCAGGTGATCCTGCTATCAGAGACACTGTTTGCTATTACATCGAGGAGAGGCTGAGGGAACTGGGATTGTTTAGTCTGCAGAAGAGAAGAGTGAGGGGGGATTTGATAGCTGCTTTCAACTACCTGAAGCGGGGTTCCAAAGAGGATGGATCTAGACTGTTCTCAGTGTTGGCAGATGACAGAACAAGGAGTAACGGTTTTAAGTTGCAGTGGGGGAGGTTTAGGTTGGACATTAGGAAAAACTTTTTCACTAGGAGGATGGTGAAGCACTGGAATGGGTTACCTAGGGAGGTGGTGGAATCTCCTTCCTTAAAGGTTGTTAAGGTCAGGCTTGACAAAGCCCTGGCTGGGATGATTTAGTTGGGAATTGGTCCTGCTTTGAGCAGGGGGTGGGACTAGATGACCTCCTGAGGTCCCCTCCAACCCTGATATTCTATGATTCTATCGAGGTGCCTGATAATCAGGATAAGATAGGATGGGAGATAAACAGACAGACCAGGATGTAGGGATGGATGGATAGACAGATTTATCTTCTGATGTTATAATTGGGTCAAATCTAGACACCCTTTGCTTAGGTGAAACCCACCGTTGACTTCAGTGAGAGGTTGTCCTTAACCCAGGATTATTAATTATTGATTCTAGGATAATTTCTACAGTGCGGAGGTGATTTATGACAAACATGAATAACAGTGAAACAAAACACGAATTAATCACCAATGCTCTTTTTCACTGCTACTAACTAGCCCCCACCCCCGGAGAACAGACGCTCTTGCACATTCCAGCTGTTGAAGGCACAGGGCAGAACTCTGCCACCTGCATCAGGACCAGATGGCTGGCACTGAAGCTTATTACCAACAGGGAAGCGACCTAGGTCGGGTTGCCAAGCCGCCAGGAGTGTTCCTGGAGTCTCCAGGAATCAAAGCTCGATCTTTCACGAACCATTATGCCGTGGGATGAAACCTCCAGGAATGTGCCCAACCAAAACTGGCAACCCTGGGTGTATACCAACTGGATCGCTTGTGGGACCTGCCTGGCGCCCAGGGCAGAGTACCTGGTCTGAGCCGAGGTGGCCCCACATCGGGTCAGATTCCTCCCTGCTGTGACTCAGGGGTGGACTTGGCCCACGATCCAGGCTGGAGAAGGCAGGACTCCGGTGGCGTTCGCGCTAGTCCCTCTGTCGCACAGTCTGAACAGTGGCGACCTGGGCCCCACCCAGAGCAGTCGCTCCCGGCTGGGACGGGAACAGCCCCTTTGCTGCTCAGTAAAGAGAACCGCCTCTGGCCCCGTGGCACTTAAACTCCCAAGTTTCCCCTGCACGTACTACCCATCACCAGTCACCCCCGCGTTCCCTTGACCCTGAGTTTACCGTTGCCAGTAGGGGAATGAAAATGCAGCCCCGCTAACCCTCCTGTATCCCTGCCAAAGAAAGAATCAGAGAGACGCTTCCAGGAGGGGTGTGAACTCCATCGGGAGAGATGGGGGCCCAGGCATGATAAGCAAAGCGCGTCTTTGGAAGATCAGTGTGTGCATTTCATCCCCTGGCTTGTCTCATAATCACCCCAGACTGGAGTTGTGTGGGGCTGGGGGGGTTTGAGCTGGAAGCTGACGCTCTTCTCTCGGGAAAGGGAAGTCTCCTGGTTAGCAAACATCCACTGGGTATTCCCGGCCCCGATTCGTGCAGCGCTCAGGAAAGAAGTGCCGTCCGACGGGCTGGTTTCAACGGGTTTAATGAAAGATGCAAATCCGAGCCCAGCCCCGAAGCAGAAATAAATACACGGAGCCAAGTCTGCGCGGTATTGAAAGTCCGGGAAGGGAAATGCACGGCCCAGTCCATAGATAGTACAGCGAGACGGAACGATCTTGAAATGAGCCGAACAGGGCTTGGGAATCTCATTAATGAACCATCGAGCGGGGAAGGGATAAAGGGGAAAGGAGAGCTGTGGTTACACGGCGCTTGAAAGGTGGGGAACGAACAGTCGCTGTAGGGAAGCTGATGCTAATCAAAGGAATTAAAAACCCAATTCCTTATTTGCCTAGTTCCGACAACGCGGAGCAAGCCGCGCCTTGGCTCCCGGGAAGTGGCAGATTTGGGGCCGTTTTCTTCTAACCAATAACCCGAATCATTCCGGCCGGTTCCAGTTCTTTACACAGACAAACCTACGCGGGTCCGGGGGAATATTTCACACCTCTGTGGGCTCTACGGGTGGGCACAATTGTAACAACAAAAGCCTGGTGTTGTTTCTGTTCAGCCCGTTAAACGGAAATCTGGACATTTCCTCTAAGCGCGCTAAGGTCATTGATGAGCAAAGATGCATCTCCCAGAGGTGAAATCTGCCCATGGCCAGCACAAGGCGCTATGAAGACTCTTCATATCATACAGCCATTAGGCTCAGGGGCCAAACGATCTCCCTGGGAATGATAAGCCTTTGAAAACGAACTGGTGCTGTCGGTTTCATCAAGTTGTCTCTCTCAGATAGTTGCAATTGTGTCTAATATTCCATAGCACCTTCGGGGCTAAACAGATTCATTGAAGGCAGGTTTTAAAAGGTGGAAATAAGTTTAGCGACTTTTGGAAAAAACAGAGGCACCTGAAATTTGGCCCAGGTCAATAGCCAGACGGACTGACAGACCGAGAGTCGGTGTTCACGGTGCTTGGAAATGCATGATAGTTACACGGTATATGCGCGGTGTTTTACTTTTAAATTCATCTCCCTTTCACACCAACACCGTTCTGCTCAAAACAGCCTTCTTTTGCAGCAGGGATTTCGCGCCTCGTGGAGCTCATTTGAGTTTCTTTGAGAGAATAGCCAGATGCACCGGTGCTGGAAGTGGGGGGGGCTGCCGCAGCCCCTGGCTGGAAGTGGTTTCCATTATACACACGGGTTACAGTTTGGTTCAATGGCTCTCAGCACCCCCCCCCCCACACACCACACACACAGTACATAGAAATTGTTCCAGGACCCCTGGCAAGAGGCGAAACAAACGATCCAATATGGAGCGGAGAGAAAAACGTTTGACAAGTTCAATGAGAAGTGATGCGCCGGATTGATTCATCGGCCGAGTGACTGTGAAAACAAGCCACCGGCCGGATGTTCAAAAGTCGCAGCAGCGAGGGGCCTGACTCCAAAGACAACCTGGCCACTAAAATGTAACGGGCGCATTGAGAGTCCCAGTCAATGTCCTAGTTCTCCCTCCCTGAGTCTCCCCAATGGGTTAATGAAACGTCTCAAGGAGCATTAGCGAGCCCCCGAGAAGGAATCAAGAGAGCCCCCCTCCCCCATGGATCTTCCCCCAGAGTTACTTTGGAGACGCAGCTGTTCCTTGGGAAAGCCCCCCTTTCTCCCCCCGGCCCCCGGTACAACGAGGGCCGCTCCGAACCAGTTTGGCAGAGGGAAGGAAGCGCCTTGTGTCAGCGCCAGCACCTGGGGTGATTGATCTGCGCGCCTAATGGTGCGTAAAAGTGGTGGTTAGGTTTGGCGAGGGGGGCGCCTCCGCCTTGACGTCAGGAGATGGGTTTAAAAAGGGGGTCGGGCGCGGAGGAGATCCCAGAAGCAGCCACCGCCTGAGAAGTGGAGACACTGAGCGGCACCCCGGCCCCTCCCGTTCGTTGTCTGACTTGCTGGCGCAGGTCGGAAAGATGCTGTCCTGCCGTCTCCAGTGCGCCCTAGCCCTGCTCTCCGTCGCCTTGGCGGTGAGTAGCGTCTCCGCGGCGCCCTCGGACCCGAGACTCCGGCAGTTCCTGCAGAAGTCACTGGCTGCGGCAGCGGGCAAACAGGTAAGTCCCCCCACCACCCCGCACCTCCTCCCGGAGTGTGCCGCAGGGATCCGAGCGAGCTGCGGGCAGCCCGGGGCCGTTTGCGGGTTCGTACCAGGTTCTCTCCCGGCTGTGTCGGGCATGGCTCTGCAGCGCGTTGGCTTGGGCTGCTGCCGGGGCGGGGCGAGTTTCTCAGGGGCAGCAGGTCCATGCACAGGTGCGTTTCACCTGCACGGAAGCGAGGGGAGGGTTTTTCCAGGGCTGCTTTGACAGGAAACCAGCCAGCAGGAGCGCAGGGGGTTAACACGCGCCCGCCTGCACTTTTCAAACGGAATCTAGCGGGGGGCGGGGGGCAATCCAGCTGTGCCCAGAGCTCCCTCCAGCTGGGTCGCAGCCCCAAGAGCGGATGGGCCAGGGTTGTTCCGCGGGAACCGTCCTTAGGCTGGTTAGGGACATGGGGCAGCCCGGGACTAGCGTTCCCATTAGGCGTTTCAAAGGAACGCAGGGTTAATGTGGCCCTGCCAAGAAAGCGGTTACGCCTCCAGCCGGACTAGGGGAGAACTCTCCAGGGTGCTAGGGAGAAACCCGGGGAAGGGGTCGCTCCCAGGTGGTGGTGGTGGGATTTCTCCAGGGTGCTGAAACCAGCCCCCCTGCCAAAGCCTCCAGCTCCGGGCGCGGGTTCCAGGCGGGCTGGAGCTAGCCAAGGCGCACGGGGGTGGCTGGATGTGTGTGTTGGCTCCCGGGGAACAACGAGATAGCGGATAGGTCCCATCCACCCCACGGGGACCAGGCGTCTCCGGGTGCATCTGCCTCGATCCACCGCTTTCTATGCGTGTCTGGAGAGAGACCCGACAGTGACCTTTGATCAGCGATGTTCTAGTCACCCCCCCTCCCGCCCCGCGAGTTGCGGGGTTACAAACCGGGGAAGCCCAGCCCGTCTCGGGGCTTTGGTAGACTAGAGGAGAATTCAGGGAGAATAAGAAAAACTGAGGGGGATGGGGGTGGGGGTTCTTCTCAACCTTCTGTACCCGTGTAACACGGCCCCGCTCCACACTGGGTGTCTCTGCTGGGGGGCGCTGGGTTGACGCTCTCCTGGCCCAGGCTGGGTTGATATGCAAACCTCTGCAGCTGCCCAGGTGGGTTGGAGCTGGCTTTGGAGAGCTGGGCCTTGCACTCTGTGATGCTCTGGGGATGGGAGCAATGCTGCCAGGCAGATAACCGAGCTGCGCCCAGCTTTTCACGGTCTCTCTGTCTCTCCCCCTTCCCCCCAAGGAACTGGCGAAGTACTTTTTGGCAGAATTGCTCTCAGAACCCAACCAGCCGGAAAATGAAGCCCTGGAGCCCGAGGACCTGTCCCGAGGCGCAGAGCAGGATGAAGTGAGGCTGGAGTTGGAGCGATCGGCTAACCCCAACCCCGCCTTGGCGCCCCGAGAACGCAAAGCCGGCTGCAAGAATTTCTTCTGGAAAACATTCACATCCTGTTAGCTTTCGGAGCCAGCCGCCGCCCCGCCAAGCCTGGCCCCCCCATCCCCAGCAAGACCTTCACGACACGAGCCGAAGACTGTAAATATACAATCCACGGTTATGGTGAAATTTAAACAACCACCGAAATAATTGCGTTGATTTCCACTTGTTTTAATAAAACTTTCCGTTCGATTGTACCTGAGTTGTGATTTCTGACTAGTTCTTTCTGACAGGCGCTCTGCAGTCCGCCCCCATGTACGACTTTTAGTTCTTTGTCGCAATAAAGTTTAAGTTTCAAACGGTGCCGCTGAGAGTTGTTGGTTTACTGGGGGGAAAAAAACCCACCAAGTCTCCTCTTTGAGATCGGCTTTCCCTTTAACAGCCCCTCCCTTGGAGGGCAGCCACAGACAACCACAGTGCAGAAAAAACCATGTGTTATAACACAGCCCTTCAAATTGTGGGTCTTTTGCTTTACTCTCTACATGGCGTGTAGAGACAGGTAGCTATCTCCCAGAACGGAGGGGGAGTTGAATTTCGCACCGCAAAACCTATAGGTTGACCTTTCAAAGCAGTCTAGGGGATTTAGACACCTGTCCGGGAATGTGTGTTTAAACCCCGTGACTACTTTGAAAATCGAAACCGTGCATTGTAACAAGACGCCCTGGCTTTACTCGTGAGCAGCAATGTGCACGGATGAGTTACACCCACGGCATCGCAAATAAGCACCAGTAAAACCTTTCCACCACACTAGGATGCAATTTAGTTATGCAACATTGTTAACTAAACACTTCGGAATATTTTCGGAGAGTTGGGGGGGAGGGGGGAGGTGTTCGTTTTTGCATCTCTATAAAGCCAAACTGTTGAACCTAACTGCATCAGCCTCAAAAGAAGAGAAAATATCTTAGTAAATAGCAGACCCCTTTAGCATGAGTTACAGTTGCTTTTCTGTATATGGCATGTCTGGATGGTGGTACGGGTCACTATTTCATGATATGCCAGGAGTAGGAAGAAGTGACCTCTTTAAGTGGAAAGGAGATTGGGTGCATCTCCAGTGAGGTAAAGTCTCCCCCACACACACAGTCTTGATGGCTTGTGAGATCTTGAGGCACAAGCCAGTTCCTGATTCAGGACTGAGTATTAGTCCTGCGTTTGAGAGCAGTGTACCTTTGAGGACAAATTGCACCGTTGGGGAAAGGACAAAACACATTCCTATAGCATAGCACCTGATTCTTTAAAAATTGCTGGCTGATTGAAAGCTGCTTTCTTGACACCTTAAATGACTGCTTCTTGGAGCAGCTAATCCTAGAACCCACAAGGACAGAGGGAATTCTTGATTTAGTCCTAAGTGGAGCACGGGATCTGGTCCAAGAGGTGAATATAACTGGACCGCTTGGTAACAGTGATCATAATATAACTAAATTTAATATCCCTCCGGTGGGGAAAACACCACAGCAGTCCAACACTGTAGCATTTAATTTCAGAAAGGAGGACTACACAAACATGCAGAAGTTAGTGGAAACAGAAATTAAAAGGTACAGCACAACAAGTGAAATCCTTGCAAGCTGCATGAAAACATTTTAAAGACACCCAGAATAGAGGCTCAACTTAAATGTATCCCCCAAATTAAACAACATAGTACGAGAACCAAAAAAAAAGAGCCACCGTGGCAAAACAACTAAGGAGAAGAAGCAGTGAGAGGCAAAAAGGCATCCTTTAAAAAATGGAAGTTAAATCCTAGTGAGGAAAATAGAAAGGAGCCTAAACGCTGGCACGTGAAGTATAAAAATATAATTAGGAAGGCCAAAAAAGAATTTGAAGAACAGCTAGCCAAAGACTCAAAAAGTAATAGCAAATTTTTATTTAAGTACATCAAAAGCAGGAAGCCTGCTAAACAACCACTGGGGCCGAAGTACTTTTTGGCAGAATTGCTCTCAGAACCCAACCAGCCGGAAAATGAAGCCCTGGAGCCCGAGGACCTGTCCCGAGGCGCAGAGCAGGATGAAGTGAGGCTGGAGTTGGAGCGATCGGCTAACCCCAACCCCGCCTTGGCGCCCCGAGAACGCAAAGCCGGCTGCAAGAATTTC